TCAACACTGAATGTTTTACCTCTCAAATGATATGAAAAGATTTAGGAATACACAAAAGTGGTGAATGAAGAATAATATTTGAGTACTTATATAACAAGGCAGCGTTAAACATGCATACACACACACATAAGCCAACACATCTTGTCTTATCAAGGGAGGTTTCAGTCAAAGCAGCTGTGACCACATCTTCTGGAATGGAAGTCAGAAAACACTACTTTAAATCTTTCATTTGTTTTTTGGAACAATTACACCACCCATGAAAGGGTAACTTTGCAAGTCATCATTATCTCATGAATTTTGGAATTATCCCTTAAATAAACCCATCTCATTTCCATATAATTACAGCAACTAAGAAGGTTCGTTAAAAAAAAAAAAAAAGGTAAATTTTAGCTCAAAATTTAGGGGTGTAAATTAATAGGGAATCCATATTACTAGCATATTGATCAAATTTGGAATTTGGGTCCTTAAAATAAGAACTTCATATGAATTTAACAGAGAACACTCTTGAGGGAAAAATCTTTATGGTTGTTGAAATTCTTTTCGATTTCTGGTTCCTGCATGTAATCCTTTCCGACAGTATTCACCTGCCACAGTCTCCACCCTTATCATGTATATGTAGTAATTTATTGCATATTGTTTAGATTTATTTGTGATAAAACATAATAGTAATGACTTCAAACTTTAAAAAGGGGGGAATCTGGACTAACAGATTTCTTCCTGAATTATTCTTTCCCTGGGAGCCTCAGGAAGACAGAAACACCTCTGGAGTATTTAAAAGACTCTAGTGGACCTAATTTCCCATAACAGGTCACTCAGCACAAACTAATTAGGACAACTTAAATGTTTCTACTGAAAACACCAAAAAAGAGGAATGTTTTATTTCTGCTGCCTGCTGGTGTCTGCTCATTTCCTCCCTCATAACCTTGCCACTTAACTGTTTTTCTAACACACTGCTTTAGAGGTGAAACTTGATGGGCCAGCCAACACCAGAAGTGTAAATGCTGACTTAAGAATGTTCTAAACATCTCAGGGAAAAACAAAAGTCCTTCTCATGACAATGTACAACAGTGTTTATTACAGGCAGGGGAATAGGTCTTTGGTCCAGAATTTTCCTACTAAATTTGTCCTAGCTGTTATATTAAAAGCTTCCTCAATTACATATTTCTTGATATGATAGGCACACACCACTGAGTATTTTTCCCACTTTTCTTAGGTATTTTCAGGAAGGCAGCTGATCCACAATTAACACTAAGCTGAACTTGAACAGTTCATCCACACCTTCTAAATTTTGCTCACCCTTTTCTCCAGGTTTAATTAATAGGCCATTAATAGTAGCATTTAGCCTGAGCTCTAACATTCCTCTCTCAGTTCTGCTCATTTGTTTAAGGCATATCATTTCCTTTATAATTTCTTTCTTCGTGTGGCTGACTCCAGGCCCGACAGTGTCCTGATTTTGGGCCACAGAGATTTTTCTCAGCGCGATCAGCCTCCCATTTTCTCTCCTGGTGGCAGAGGGCTGTGACATGGCACCTCTCTGGCCAACCAACCATGGACAATTTGTGAGGTTGATGTGTCCAGTGCTAACGACTCACAGTTCCAGCAGTGGGGAAATGTGTTGGGCCAGGTGGAAAGGGGAAGATGATTCAGACATACAGTCTCAGAGGTAGAGACAGGACACCATTACAACCTTCTGCCAGGCTCTGAGAAATAACCAGGATGCACTCGAGCAAAGAACCTGCCCTTCATAACAGCACACTCCTCTTAGCCAAACTGTAATCCAGGGGCTCCGGTCTGCTGTGCTGACAACCACCCACGGCCTCTCTTCCTTAATCTGAGATGAAGTCTCCCACCTGCCTTGCTTTTATTTCTGGATAAATGTTTAATGGCTGTTCATCCTTGGCACCTGTAATTTTTAACTATGTAAAATATTTCTTGGGGTGGAGAGGGTAACTTCATAAGCATTTATTACTCTCTCTTGCATCTACAGTAAATCCCAACCTGGTTGCCGACTGGGATTTTCCTTGCTTCATTCTTCCTTGTGAACCTTATTTTTAACTCTAAGTAATGAATGCAGGATCGATAGAATGACTAACAAAAGTATCCAGGGTGACTGAACAGCAAACTCTTAAACCACTGCGCAGTAAGTGGGAATGAACAATTATTGAAACAATGCACTGAAATCTCAATAGGAGATAAGAGTAAGGCTTAAGCCATTAAAAGAGTCCATTAGTCATGTAAGTCTGAGACAGCACACTCCAAACACGAGCTGTTCTCCAGACCTGGAAATATAACATATTCCACCAACTTGCATACAAACAACTGACTCCAAGTGAGCAGCGGCAGGGTCCAACTGTCCAGTCCCTAAGGATAAGGCAGACAGAGAAGCTGAGAAGCTGAGCCAGCCTATTCAAGCAATGATTCTTCAGTTATACTGGGGGGGCGGGGG